CTAATCCCTTAAAAAAGGACAAAAAATTGAGAAGACAGAGACAAATAAAGTAGATATGAGGGGAAAAAAAGATAAAAATGAAAATAGTATAGGACAATAAATGGACAAAAAAGTAGAAAGAAGGAAGAAAAACAAATAAAAATGTAAATAGTATGGAAGAAGAAAGGGACAAAAAGCAGAAAGGAGGAAGAAAAAAAAGATAGAAATGAAAATAGTATGGAACAAATATACCAACCTGTCTCACTTCGCCATATTGATTTCCGTTGCATTGTCATAAACGAAATGAAAGAGAGAGAGAGAGAAAAAAAGAGATAATCATCAGAAAAGAAACTGAATTACATATCATTTGAGAAACGTCTTATGAAAGCAGAACGAGACGAAGGAAGGAAATAGACATAACAACCGCTGACTGGATCATGAGGTTCGACTTTCTTAGAAGACGGAATGATTGGCTAATGACAGGGCAGTTTGGTCATGCTGTGTGTTGACATTGAAGACCTTGGGCAGCGCAGAGGAGGTCCTGGTACTGTCCTTCGTGTACAGGCTTGGTAGGTCTGTGCATGTCGTGTTTTTTTTTTTTTTTTTTTTTTTTTGGAGGGGGTGCACATGCGCGTTGGTTTTTGGGAAATGAGTTGGCAAAGTCGTAGTACTTTTCAGAAAAAAATATATTCTGTCAAGTGTCGAAATGTTTTTGTTGTTGTTTTTTATAGACTGATTTTTGAAAAATATATTTTTCGAAAGGAAAGGATTTCTTTCTCACATAAAATCTTTAGGAGAATATTCTACATTATTGATAAAAGAGTACCATAGCCTTCTCCAGCAAAAAAAAATATGATAGTAGATATATGTGTATATAAATAAATTAAAAGAAAACACTCAGTAAAGACACCATATTATCGAGAATAGCGTTGAAGATACTAGACGAGGCTTTCCTTAACCCCACCCAAAGCCCCCCCCCCAACTTCTCCCCCTCCCCTCAACCCCCCATCTTCTCCTTTCCCTCAACCACCCCTTCCCCCATCTTCCTCCCTCCCCCTCATCCCCCCCCCAACTCCACCCTCCCTCAACCACCCATCTCCACCCTCCCCTAACCCCCCCAACTCCACCTCCCTCTCAACTCTCCCCCATCTTCACCCCCCCCCCCACCACCCCCAAAGAACCAGGCGAGGTTGCTGCCACCCCTAAATATAGAGCAGCGAGTGAGTTACATGTGTTTCTTGTTGTGGCGAGAGAAAGTGTTCGTAGCCTATACATCTTGCATGCGAGAGGGTAATGGTAGGTTGGGCCAGCTGTGGTTCTGGTTACAGCTTATCATAATGGCTCTAACACAGCCGCCGACAAAATGTTTTATTTCGGAGATGCTTGTTGGGGAGAAGAAAGAGAGAGAGATGGATATTTTTTTTTTTTTTTTTTTTTTTTTTTTTTTGAGGATGGCTTGTGTGTGCTTGTGTGTGTGTGTGCGTGTGTTTTGTTGTGTGTGTGATGCGTGTGTTTGATCTCTTTATCTTTTCTCTTTTATTTTTTTTAACTAAGGTTTCTTTTGTATTATTTTCCTTCACCTTATCTCTTCAATTTCTCTTACCCTTTCGTATCGCAAACAACTGCATCATCGCTTATCATCCTGTAGTTAAATGAAAATAAATAAATAAATGAATCAATAATAGATAAATAAATAAAATTAGATAAAATAATTAATAAAGATAAATAAATGAAAATGGAATAAATAAATGAATTAATAATAAATAAACAAATAAAATGAATAAATAAATGAATTGATATCAACATTTAAATCGGTTGCGAGCCATAGTTCAGGTATCCGAACAAAGAAAAAAAATATCAACAGTGACTTTCAAAAGATAGTGAGTGGCGTCCATCAAAGGCATATTAGGAAGGTCTGTGAATAAGAGAAAGAGAGAAAGGGGGGAAGGAAGAGAGAAAAGGAGAAAGAGAGTGAGAGAGAGAGAGAAAGGAAGAGACAGAGAGAGGCTTGCATCTGTCTATCTATCTCTCTATCTATCTATTTACCTATTTGTCTATCTATCTGTCTGTCTATCTACCCATATATTGTTCTTTCTTTCTCTCTTTCTCTCCCTTTTTTCTTCGTCTGCTCTTTTCCTGTCCTTCCTTCTTTCACACAGTGACATTTCCCGACTTAAAGATTTCCTTCTCTTTCTCTTCCTTTACTTTATTTTGGTCCTTTCGCTCCCCTTCCTCTTCTCTCATCACCCTTTTCCTCGCTTCTATTTCCCCGTCCTCTAATTCCCCTTCGTTTCCCTTCCTCTTCTCTCATCTCATCTCTCTTCTCCCTCTCTTCTTCTCCTCACCTCCCCTCCTCTCCCTTTCCTTCCTCCCCCTCTCCTCGCCCCCTCGACTCTCTTTCTCTCCCCTTCCTCTTCTCTCATCTCCTTTCCTCCCCCTCATTTCTTCCCCTGATCTGCCCTCCTCTCCCCTCCTCACCTCTCTCATCACCCCTCTCTCCCCCTCCCCCCTCCTCTCCCTCTTCTCCTCTCCCCCTCTCCTCACCCCTCCCTCCCCTCCACTCTCTCCTCACCCTCCTCTCCCCTTCCTCCCCCTCCTCCTCCCTCCTCTCCCCCCCTCCTCACCCCTCCTCTCCTCTCCCTCTCCTCGTCCCCTCACATCGCACCGACAGCCTCTTTCAGTTCTTCGTGCCAGAGTTTCGAGTCAAGAGCTCTTGGCTTGACAGACGAAACAGACTCGCAGATTACCCTCAGACACACTCTCCCCTTCTCCCCTCTGCCATGTCATCCCCTCCGCCCCATTCCCTCCCTTCTTCTCCTTCCCCTCCCTTCTCTTCTTCTCCTCCTCAGTCCCCCATCCTCCTTTCTTCTCTACCTTCTTCCCTCCTCCTCTCCCCATCCTTCTTCCTTCCCCCAGACTCTTGCTTCTCTTCCCTCCTCCTCCCTTCTCTCCCCTATTCCTTCCCTTCTTCTCCTCCTCCCCCATCCCCCTCCTCTCCTCCATCCCTTCCCATTTCTTCCCTCCTCCTTCTCTTCGCCCCATCCCCCATCCCCTCCCCCCCACCCCTCCCCCTCTCCCACTACTACCGGCCGGTGTCTCGAGAGTGTGTTCCTCTGCGGTTCTTTTTTGTTTTATTTCTTTCTCTTCTTTCGCTCGGTGTTCTTTATTTTATCCTTTTCTTCCTTAATCTCCTATTCTAGTATTTGCTTTTTTATTTCTTTTTTATTATTCTTATACCTTAATCTTATTCCTCTCTTCTTATTTCTCCCTTTTTGTCTTTTTTTTCACTCTTCTCTTATTCTTTGTTTCCTATTCTACTCTCTTACCATCATTTCCTTTTATTTCCCTTTTTACCTTTTTATTCATCTTTCTATGCATCTTTTTTCATTCCTTTTCTCTTGCTCTTGTCTTCTTCTCTCTTCTTCTAATTTCTCCTTCTCCCTTATCTCTCTGCTCTTTCTTTTTCTTCTCCAGCCCTTCACCCTATCCTTAATTAGTTTGTTCTTGTTTTCATACAATTTCATTTTTTTCTTTCCCTCTTCTCTCATTTCGTACTTCTTTCTTTCTTTCTTTTTTTCCCTCCTCTTTGTCTTCTTTCTTATAGCCTCCATCTCCCAACATCCTTTTATTTACATTAGTTCCCCGCGCAGTGTTTTCTCATCCTCTGAAATTGTTTTATATATTTTATCTATATATTTCCTTGGTGGACTAATTATTTCATGTTTGATTTTTTTATATCAATATGATTTTATTTCTAATATGATATTTTTTTCAATATGCATATCTATTTTTTTTCTAATATGATTTTTTTCTATATGTATATCTAAAGTAAGAGGATCTGCAAGATATATTTCAAGTATAATTATATCATTTTATTTACCTAGAGAATTAAGTCTTCTTTAAAACGAAATGATAAGTTCTAGAGGAAAATAATGATGAGAGTAATGATTGAAATAGCGGTTAAATAATTTTATTTAAGTAGCCGAAGGGAAGGTTCTAAATGCAGTGAATATAACAAATATTATTAAAATCTATTATAGGTATTCTAAAATCTCAAACGAATTGTCTTAAATTCAATACCACGCAGAATTTACAAAAAAAAAGTTAGAAAAAATTATTTCTCCAAACGCAAGGCTACAAAATCAATTAATCCCTACAAATAATACAAAGATATTACAATCAAACTAACTAACCGCATAATCGCAAAAGTTTCTAAATTAAGCAATTCTAATAAATAAAAAACGAAGGTAAGAAGATCCAACACCGAAAAAGAAGATCAGGAAAGAGACAAAGAGCAGAAAAGCCTCTGGAAGCGCGGGCTCCTCAAACGTGCAAACTACTGTGAAAATACTTCTCCAGGAATCCCCCAGAGCTCACAATGCGAGTCATAGCGTGAAGCGAAGCCAAACACGGAATGAGTTTAACCAACGAGCATTACAAAGGAGACAAACACATATCGGTTACACTCGCCGGTGGAGAGCGCGAAACACACTCAAGTTTAAACAGTCGTATTGTTCCCCAGTCTCGTCCGGGCCGGCTGCGGTGATGGATGTCGGACGAGGGAACATGACTATCAGTATATTTCTTGTATTTCTCAAGGATTCTTGTTTAAGTATCTAATTTAAATGACCTCAATGACTTTTTGGCGTTGATTTAAATGTGTGTGGTTTGGAGGGGGTGGGGGTGGGGTGGGGGGTTCTTCGTGTGGACTTGCCGCTTTTGTCGGTATTCGTAGAGGGGTGTGGAGGGGAGGGGAGTGGGGGCAGTGTCTGTCTGTCTGTCTGTCTACCGGGCTGGCTGGCTGCCTTGGATGGTTGGTTGGGGGTTTGGCCTCTATGTGTTTGTGTCAGTTTGAGTGTGTGTGTGTCTGTGTGTGGTCATTAATGTATATTTGATTGCATATGTGCATATATGACTGTCCTGGAGAGACAGTTTTCACAGCATGACGCAGCATATTTTTTGTCTCGGTGTTATCGTTTGCCTTTATTCCCGCCTGCTCTAACGCGCCCTTCTCTCCGCAGCGCCCAAGACGGACTACGGCGGCTTCGGCGGCGGGACGGGACGCACCAACTTCACCACCAAGCAGCTGACGGAGCTCGAGAAGGAATTCCACTTCAACAAGTACCTGACGCGCGCGCGGCGCATCGAGATCGCGTCGGCGCTTCAGCTCAACGAGACGCAGGTCAAGATCTGGTTCCAGAACCGCCGCATGAAGCAGAAGAAGCGCATGAAGGAGGGCCCATCCCCCCCGACCCCCCACCGTGTCACCCCGCGAGAACAGCAACGACTCCGACTCGACGACCAACACCAGCGGCGGCGCGGGCGGCGGCTCGGGCGGACCGGCGGCACCACCACCGGCGGCGGCGGCGGCGGCGGCGTGACCACCAAGCCCGAGTCGCCGGGCTCCGTGGGCGGCGGCACCAGCGCCTCCCAGCCCCTGCAGGTGCCCACGAGCGCCAGCAAGCCCAAAACGCAGGCGCTGCCCGCCACCACCCAGAGCCCCTCGTAAGGGCGCCCTTGGGCCTCGGGTCCGAATGAGCTTTAACCCCGAGCCTCGCCGTGGGCGGTGGCAGGGTGAGGGCGGCGCCCGCGGCGGCCCCCGAGGGCCTGCCGCCGGGTTTGCCAAACGTTCTCAGGGTTCCTCTTATCATAGCCGGCAGTCGCGTCGTCGGGCCGCCCGCGGCTCCTTGTACCAGTGTCAGACGCACACCACTGCAGCAGAAGGCGGCACCTCCCGCCGCCCGCCTCCTCGACACGCCCACGCGCCCGCCAGGCCCTCGCCGGGCCAGCGGGGGCGCGGGGCGCCCGAGAGGGCCTGCCGTCGATCGCGGAACCGAACCTTGTGATGCAACGCGTGCAACTCTCTCTCGCAACGTCTCTTCTTCGCGTCCTGAGCGCCGGCGCCCCGGGCCCCGCGCGGCGCCCGGCGAAGGGGCTGCAGGTGCGGCCCCGGGAGATGCGGCGGCGAAGGGCGCGCCCCGGGGGTCCGCCTGGGCTACCTTGTCACTGATCCTGTCGGGCCTGTGGGACCTGCAGGAGTGGCTGCAGGACCTCTCGGCTTCTAGCGACGTCACGGCGGTGGCTGTCATCATCACTCTTCTAGCTCAGGGAATTTGATCACTTCATGCTGCAGCCTTTCACGCTGGCCCTTGCCGGCGGGGCTCCCTCGAGCGCGCGCGCGCCCGGAGGAGCCGCGCCGCAGGAGGTCAACCTCATCGGCCTCTCTTCATCGGACTTCTTCTGGGATGAAAGTCGTTTTTTATTTTGTCAATCTTTTTTTATTTCATTTGACTTCCTGGCTTGAGCTTCGAGGCTTATTTTTGAATGTTAGAAAAGAAAAAACAAACGAAAGTGACAATGCGGAGGCGACCCCGGCTTTCCCAGGCTTCACGTGCAATATTCTTTCTGTGGGAAGGTTGTGGTGTCTTGAATATGGTGACATGAGGATTAGTTGAAAGTGTAATGTATGTAGTGATGGATGTGTATATATTATATAAATATATTTTTCTGGTAAACATACCATATTGTCCGCATTGTTGGCTGCAATAGGGATGTCCCCTTTCAATGCTATGTAATAAGTTAAGTATATTATTTTATTTTTTTCGTCATTTTCTAATAAAAAAAAATCATTTTCACGGATATTATTGCATCTGATGTCGATCATTCACTGGGAATCCATCATGCATTATTAAACCTTTACATTTGAGATGCCAGTCATCACAAACTGAGGAAGATAAGTTATTTAATTTAGTGTCATCACACTTTTAGAATTCTTAAAAGTGTGATGACAAAAAGATGATCAAAAGGGAGATATTATGATCGCTATATCTTATTAAAAATCATCCTTCAAGTAAAAAAAAAAAAAAAAAAACTATGGAGGGAGTGGCGTGAAAACCCGAATAATAGTTCACGCAAAATTTTGAAGAAAAAAAATCATACCACAAAAAAAAATATAATAATAATAGAAAAGTTCAGATCATCTTTTTTCTTTTTCTTTTCTTGTTTTCACGGGAAAAAATCACAGAAAAAAAACACACCAGATGCCTTTAATATTTATCTAATGACATAAAATGAGCAAGTTTATATCGGGTTTCAATCAAGCTTTTGTTATTTTACATCTGTGTGTGGACAAGTAACATACACTTTGTCAGACATTGATACATTCCACAATCGCTGGTCCTACCCCCCCCTTACCCCCCCCATCCCCGTTTTCAATCACCTTCCCCTCTCCCCATCTTCCTTCCTTCCACCCCACATTTCTCATTCACCCTCTCCCCTTCCCCCCTCCATCCCCTTACCCCCCCCCCTCTTCTCATCCATCCCCCTCCCCATTCCCTCATTCACTCACGCCATATAAAAATGAAGCACATCTAAGGTTTTTAATGGGGTAGGGTTAAGGGTGAGGGAAGGGGGGTTAAGGGAGGGTGGGGGGAAGGGAGGGTATCATTCTCGTTCTATATAATTAGATCTGCAACAATATTACGTCGAGAGATAATGGGGGTCGAGTAATTAACGATAATTCATATAAGCGGATTTTGTCAAATCTTTCTCAGAGGAGAGAAAAATACAGTAATTTTTTTTTCTTCTTGTAAGTTATAATGAACGTTTTATTTTTGCTATATCGTTCCTGTGTGTGTGTCTACTTGTATATATTTTGTATAAAGTATTTCCTGGTAATATTATCACTGAATATGATATTAATATTAATATTAACGATAATCATAAACACAGATGTTTCTAAGAGAAAAAACCCGTTGTGCTTTAAAGATCACTGATGCCAGATAGGTCGTGGTATCTTTCATTTTGCAGGATCATTGTCTCACTTGCGGCAACGCTTGGTGGTTTTATATATTGTAATATATTTGTTTGTTTTTATTTGGCATCACATAACGCTCTTTGGAATACACTTCCTTGTGTCTTCTGGCTGTCGTTTCCTGTGTCTTTGACTTTGCGTCTTGTCTGCGTGCTGTCCGGAATTTTGAGTTTTGTCTCTGTTCTATATCTATTTATTCTTCTTTTTCTTATTCTTATTCTTCCGCTTCTTCCTCTTCTGTTTCTTCGGCTGCATCTTTTCTTCCTTCTCTTACTTCTCTCCTTCTTTGTTCCTTTTCCTTCTCTTCCCTTCCTTTCTTTTCCCCTCTCTCTTCTTCCTCTCCTTCCTCATCCTCATCATCCTTCGCCTCTCCCCTCATTCTTCCCCCATCATCTTCTTCCTCTCCATCGCATCTCTCCGTTTCCGCCTCACAAGAACCAACACGGATAACCTGTACATAAACTCCCTTAATCTAAGAAGGCGCAGATATCTCAACGTATACACTAAGATGGGGTGTTGTTTTGTACATAGATCTTTGTAAATTTGTGTTTTTACCATTGTCATTATTATTATTATCATTTCTTCTCCAGCCATATCAGTGTAAATTATACTCTGGAACAATGAGCTTTTCAATAAAGTACATATTGAATATCCTGTCTGTTTTACTCTCTTTTGCAACCCGGATTTAGCACGACGTTGAATCGCAAAAATGCAAATTAGTGTGAAGTGATATAAAGATAATGATCAAACATGGAAACGTTAACTCGCATTTTTTTTAATTAATGTGAAAAGTGTGAGATAATGGTTAAACATTGAAAGAAATTATACAAAATAGATGAAGATAACAAATAACCAATAATTATCTCTTCTAATCCTCCTTATTCCCAATAAACAAAAAAGAGAAAAAATGGAAGAACCAGTAAATAAAATAAAATAAAAAAACATACACAAAATATTGAAAAAATACAATGATCATATAAATTCAGTGATGAAAATAATGAAAAAGATGATAAGAATAAGAATAAGAATAAAAAGAATTATAATAGTAGTATTAGGAGCAGTAATAATGATAACAAAGATCACATCAATAATAACAATTATAATATTGATAATATACACAATAATAACAACAGTACTACTAATGATAGAAGTGGTAACAATAATAGTAATGATGATAATGATAATAATGATAATATAATGATATAATAAAATAACAATGATAATAATGAAAATGATAACAATAATAACAATAGTAACAACAACAATAATAAATGATAATGGTAATGATTATCATAACAATTATAGTAATGATAATAAAAACAATAGTAAAATAATAATGATAATAATAATAATGATAATGATGATAATAGTAACGATAATGATAACAGTAATACCAATGGTGATGATAATCACAATCATGATAATAATCATAATGATAATAACTATGATGCTAATGATAAAAACAACAATGATAATGATGATGATGAAAATAATAACAGAAGCAATAACAAAAATAGTAATGAAAACAATAAGCAATGCAATATGATGAAATATAACAATAAAAATGATAATGATAATATAATAACAATAATAACACAAATAATAATGATAACAATAACAATAAAAAAAGGTAGTGGTAATAGTAATAGTAATAGTAGTAATAGTAATAAAATATAATAATAAAATTATAATAATATGATAATAATAATAATGATAATAATAATAATAATAAAATAATAATAATAATAATAATAATAATAATAATATGATAATAATAATAGTAACAATATAATAATAAAAAAGTAATAATAACAATGATAATGAATGATATGATAATATAATAAATAAAGATAATGTTAATACTAAATAACAATAATAATACTAATAATAATGATAATGATAATCAATAATATTAATGATAATAAAATAATAATGATAATGATAATAATATACAAAATAAATAATAAATAATGATAATCAATGATATAGCAATGATGATAATAATATCAATAATAGTGATAATAATAATAATAATGATATGATAATGATAATAATGTTGATAATGATAATAATGATAATATAATAGCATATAATATAATTATAACAATAATGATCATAATGATAATAATAATAATAATAAAATAAATAATAAATAATGATAATAATAATGATAATAATAATAATAATGTAAATAATAATAATAATAGTAATAATGATAATAATAATAAATAAATAATAATATAATATAACAATAATAATAATAATAAATAATAATAAATAATAACAATAATAATAATAATAATAATAATAATAATAATAATAATAATAATCAATATAAATTATTTCCTTGTTATTATTATCATTATCATTGTCATCACCATTACTGTTATCATTATCATCATGATCATTTGGTAATGATAATTATAATTATAATAATATGAGATGATATATAATATGTAGTAATGATAATGATGATAATATGTCTCATCATTATCATCATTGTCAAACATTATTCATTATCATTATTATCATTACTATTATCGTTATTGTTATTATTACTATCATTATTACTATTGCTATTATTTCTATTATCATCATATTGATAATGATGATTATAATGATAAATAATGATAATGAATGGTAACAATGAAAATGATAATATTATTACATCATTATTATCATCAATAACAATGGTAATAATGATAATATAAAATCAATGATAAGATAATGATGAAAAATTGGTAAAGTAATGGCAATAAAACTGATGTAATGAAGATAAACATAATAATAATTTAATAATGCTTATAATACTAGGATAATAATAATAATAATAACAAGAATAATAATGATGATAATAGTAATGATAATGATAATAACAATGATAATAATAATAATGTAATAGTAATAAGTAATAATAATAATAAATATAATAATAATATATAATAATATTAAGATTAATTATTATAATAATAATTATTATTAATAATAATGATAATAATAATATAATAAATGAAACTAATAATAAATGATAATATTGATAATATATAATGATAATAAGATAAAATGAATAATATATAATAATAATAGTAATAATAATATAATAATAATGATGATAATAATAATAAAATAATAATAATAAAAGAATAATGATATAATAATAATAATAACAATAATAATAATGATAATAATAATAATAATATAAATAACAATAATAATAATAATAATAATAATAATAATAATAATAATAATAATAATAATAGATAATAATAATATTGATTATAATAATGATACAAATAATGTTAATGATAAAGATAATAATGACAATAGTAAAAGTGATAACAATAGTAATGAGAATGATGAGAATGATAATAATGACAAAAATAATGATAATAATGATAATGATAATATTAATGATAATAATATTAATGATAACAATGTTAATAATGATTATAATATTAATAATGGTAATAAGAGTGATAATGATAATGATATCAATAATATAAACAACAATAGTAATAATAACAATAATAATAATAATAATAATAATAATAATAATATAATGATAATAATAATAATAATAATAATATAATAATTAATAATGATGATGATGATGATATGATTGAATGATGAATGATGATGAATGATGATGATGATGATATGATGATGATGATATATAATGATGATAATAATAATAATAATAAATAATAATAATAATAATAATCATAATAATAACACAACAACAACAACAACAAAAATAACAGCAATAATAATAATAATAATGATAATGATAATAATATAATAATAATAATAAATAATAATGATAATAATAATAATAATAATAATAATAATAATAATAATAATAATAATAATAATAATAATAATAATAATAATGAATAATAATAATAATTAATAATAATAATAATAATAATATAATAATAATAATAATAATAATAATAATTATAATAATAATAATAATAATAATAATAATAATAATAATATAATAATAAAATAATAATAATAATGATAACAACAACATAATAATAATGATGATAATGATAATAATAATAATAATAATAATAATAATAACATAATAATATAATAAATAATAATAATAATAATAATATATAATAATAATAATAATAATAATAATAATAATAATAATAATAATAATAATAAAAATGATATAATAATAATAATAATAAAAAAATAATAAAATAATAATAATAATTAATAATAATAATAATAAATAATGATAATAATAATAATGATAATGACAGCAAAAATAATGAATATAATAATAATGATGATAATAATGATAATAGAATAACAATAATGATAATGATAATGATAATGATAATATATGATAATGATAATGATGATAGTGATAATAACAATAACGATGATAATAATGAT